ATGCGAACGCGTCTAGCTCCACGCGATCGCGTGGAGCAATTCCTTCACTCCTCTACCGCTGCAAATCCTTCTACGCAAACGCGACCTCAGTCACGTGTTCGCGATGCATAGTTTGGCACACCTACGCGATCGCGATCTTATCTCTTCGATCGTGTAGAATAAACTCACCTCTTCCCCCAAATAAGCTTACGCGATCGCAAATGAACCCATGCGATCGCGTACAAGGATATCAGAAAAATCCAACATCAGATATCAGCAACTTCAGCCACATTGCCAACCAAACACCAAGTCCATTAACCACTCGAAACTCACTCAAGGCCCTCGGAACCTCAAACAAACATAACAACACGTCCCATAACATCATACGAGCTTAGTCAAAACTTCGAATCACTCAAACAACATCAAAATACCAAACTACCCCCGAATTCAAGCCTAAGAACTTCTAAACTTCCGAATTCCACCAACGATGCCGAAACCTACCAAACCACTTCCGAATGACCTCAAATTTTGCACAGAAGTCAAAAATGACACCACGAACCTACTCCAACTTCCAAAATCCAATCCGACCCCGATATCAAAATTTTCACTGCCGGCCAAAATCGCCAAAATTCTAACTTTCGCCAATTCAAGCCTAATTATACCACAGAACTCCATATCTCATTCCGGACGTGCTCCTAAGTCCAAAATCCCCTAATGGAGCTAACAGGACCATCAAAACTCAAGTCCAAGGTTGTTTACACATAATTCAACTTCCGGTCAACTTTTCCAACTTAAGCTTCCAAATAAGAGACTATGTGTCTCAATTCACTCCGAAACCACTCCGGACCCGAACCAACTAACCCGGTATATCATAATATAGATGTAGAACACAAGAGAAGCAGGAAATGGGGGAACATGGCTATAACTCTCGAAACGACCGGCCGGGTCATTACATCCTCCCCCTCTTAAACAAATGTTCGTCCTCGAACGGGTCTAGAAACATACCTGGAGCCTCAAATAGGTGTAGGTATCTGCTCCATATCTCCCGCTCGGTCTCCTAAGTAGCCTCCTCGACGGGCTGGCCTCTCCACTGCACCTTCACTGAAGCTATATCCTTTGACCTCAACTTTTGAACCTGATGCCCCGAGATAGCCACCGGCTCCACACCATAAGTCAAATCATCATCCAACTGAACCATGCTGAAATCCAAAACATGAGATGGATCGTCGATATACTTCCAAAGCATAGAAACATGAAATACTGGATGCACACTTGATAAGCTAGGTGGCAAGACAAGCTCATAGGCCAGCTCCCCAATCCTCCGAAGCACCTCAAACGGCCCAATAAACCGAGGGCTCAACTTGCCCTTCTTCCTAAATCTCATAACACCCCTCATGGGTGAAACCTTCAGCAAGACCTTTTCCCCAACCATGTAAGACACATAACGGACCTTTCTGTCAGCATAAATCTTCTGTCTCGACTGCGCCGTGGGAAGCTGCTCCTAAATTAATTTCACCTTGTCCAATGCATCCTGAACCAAGTCTGTACCCAAAAGCCTAGCCTCACCCGACTCAAACAAACCCACTGGAGATCTACACCGCATCCCATATAAAGCCTTATACGGAGCCATTTGAATACTCGACTGATAACTGTTGTTGCAAGCAAACTCCGCGAGTGGCAGGAACTAGTCCCATGAACCCCCAAAATCAATGACACAAGCGCGTAGCATGTCCTCTAATATCTGAATAGTGCGCTCGGACTGTCTGCTCCCACTTCCACTCTGGAATCTCTATCTTCTGAAGTAAGCCAGCCGGTCTCTGATGCTCATATTTCACCTGCTGGCAGTTGAGACATCGAGCTACAACCCAACTATATATTTCTTCATTCTCCTCCACCAGTAGTGTTTTCTCAAATCTTGATGCATTTTCACGGCACCCGGATGGATGGAATACCGCGAACTATGGGCCTCCTGAAGAATCAACTCTCGTAGCCCATCCACACTGGGCACACATATCCGGCCCTGCAATCTCAATACCCCGTCCTCACCAATAGTCACATCTCTGGCATCACCGTGCTGAACCCTATCCTTGAGGACAAGAAAATGAGGATCATCATACCGGCGCTCTCTAATACGATCAAATAGGGAAGATCGAGAAACCGCACAAGCTAGGACCCGACTGGGCTCCGAAATATCCAATCTCACAAACCGATTGGCTAAATCCTGAACATCAACTGCAAGGGGTCTCTCACCAACAGGAAGGAATGCAAGACTATCCATACTCACTGCCTTTCTATTCAAGGCATCGGTCACCACATTGGCCTTTCCCGAATGGTGCAAAATGGTAATATCATAATCCTTTAGCAGCTCTAACCATCTTCGCTGCCTCAGATTGAGATCCTTCTGCTTGAACAAGTGCTGGAGGCTACGATGATCAATAAACACCTCACAAGACACACCATAGAGATAGTGCCTCCAAATCTTCAACGCGTGAACAATGGTAGCCAACTCCAAATCATGAACGGGGTAGTTCTTCTCATGGGGCTTCAACTGACCCGAAGCATAAGCAATTACTCTACCCTCCTGCATCAAAACACACCCAATGCCGATCCGAGAAGCATCACAATATACGGTATAAGAACGAGAAGTGGATGGCAGAACTAACACTGGAGTTATGGTCAAGGCAGTCTTGAGCTTCTAAAAGCTCGCCTCACACTCATCTGACCACCTGAAAGGAGAACCCTTTTGGGTCAAATTGGTCAAGGGCAATGCAATAGACGAGAAACCCTGAACGAACCAACGGTAATAACCAGCCAAACCAAGAAAGCTCCGAATCTCTGTGGCTGAGGACGGTTTGGGCCAACTGTGAACCGTCTCTATCTTCTTCGGATTAACCTGAATACCCTCACTGGACACCACGTGTCCCAAGAACGCTACAAAACTAAGCCAAAACTCACACTTTAAGAACTTGGAACAAAGCTTCTCATCCCTCAGCCGCTGCAATACAACACTCAAATGCTCGGCGTGCTCCTCCTGGCTATGAGAGTAAACCAGAATATCATCAATGAATACAATAACAAACGTGTCGAGATAAGGCCGAAACATGCTGTTCATCAAATGCATGAACGATGTTGGGGCATTCGTCAGCCCAAAAGACATCACGAAGAACTCATAATGACTATAACGGGTCCTGAAAGTTGTCTTAAGAATGTAACCATTAAATACTTTTTTGATCAGCAACAAAAAACTAAAGAGAGTGTAATACACTCGCCAATGATATGGCAAATTGACGAATTAACTGATGACGTTTGGCATTTGGGTCCAAAATAATACGTAATTAACAAAATGAATCATGAGGGGAAAAAAGAAAAACTATTTTTAAGAAAAAAAAAAAGGAAAAAAAAACTAATTTTGAACCCCACCCCACCCTACCCAGACCCTTCCCTATTCTTCTGTTAAGCCCATCAGCTGCTGTCTCTAACAAAAAATATTCTACTTTTTTTCTTTTGGTTTTTAGATCAAATTCATCTGTAATTTTAGATCTGATGTTTTTAATTTTTGATCTTATATCTTCTTGAAGAAGGGAGGAAGAGGGATAGAAAAGAGAGTGGTGACAGTGATAGGTCCCAATTTTTTCCGGCGAGCAAGGTGGTGGTGGTTGCCAGAATCAAAGAAAAATTAGCAGATGGTGGTGATCGTTTTCATACCTGAAAAAGATGAATAAAGTGGTGATTGGAGTGGTGGTGGCGTCAGCAGTGATGATTGCAGAAAGTGGTGGTACTGGTTCGAAAAATGAGGAAGAACAGGTGTGGTGGTGGCAGTAATGGCAGATCCGAAGATGAAAAGACGGTGGTGGAAGAGGAGGTAAGGTGGCTGAAGAAAGGAGAGAAGGGTGGACTGTGGTGGTGGCGTCATGATAGCGACGCCGCCCATGGTGGTGGATGGTGGAGAAGTTATGGCAAAGGAAGAATAATGAAGAAAGAGATTAAAAAAAAGAGAGAAAAGAACTGAAAACAATGCAACTCACGCTCTTAGGGTAAGTGTATCACACACATCATGCCATGTCAGCAAAAAGTGTTTAATGTAAATTTTGACTAGTGTAAGTGTTCGATAGGAATAAGCCTCAAATAATGTATCTAAAAGGAAAACCTTAGCAAGTTTAGGGGGACTGCATATGTTTTTGGCCATATATTTATGTCTTTGTCTACTTCTTCAAATATCAACATCGCTTACGAAAAATCCTACTTATACCCCTGGTTCGAAGGGAGAAAATTTTGTTTTAACTAAAAAAGAGGTCAACTTTTTCAGACATACCGGTTAAGAGTCCAAAAATACTCACTATCTTGACTAATTTAACCATTATAACCCTGTTCTTTTTAATAAGCATTTTGATCCACTACTTCAAGCCTTCAAGCATTCAGCATAGACATTAATCATCCGAAGAAAGAGTACAAGAACGAAAAATGCATAAACTGTACAACGTGGGACTTCAGAAACAACAAATCTTCGAAACTTGGCGAAACCGCAGTTCAAGTTTGAACAAATAAAAACAAAAATAGTTTTGTTTTCCTCATTCTCCAACATATTGATAGCATTGACAAAGTGGGCACCTCTTTTAGTGTTGCTCTGCCGCTTCAGTATTTTCTCAAGATCTTTCATTCACGACATCGCGTACTAGAATAAATTACTAGCAAAAACCAAGTCCCTGAGAAAGCTGTCTTTTGTTTTTTAGTACTGGCAATGCTCGGACTACCTAGTGCCACCTCAATTATGCTACCGGGTACCTGCGGTCTCCCACCAGTAAAGATGAGTAGCTGCCTATCAAAACTTGAGCATATTAAAAAAAAATCACCTAATATTAGGAAATAAAAATTCCTAATCTCAATTAAGTGATACTACATGAAGCTGATAAAACTAACTAATAACGTTCAAAAACAGTTCATTTGCTTATAAGTGCTCGGCAGCATATCCTCAGCACCAAACTGAGAATACTAACAACAAAGAACATAGATGAAACAACAAATAGATAAAATACATATATTACTTTGGCCAGAAAGAACATTTTATTTCCAAATTAATTATTCACGTTCCTACACTGGTTTGTGCAACATTAACCAACACGGACCCTTCTTTTGCATAGCACCAGATACAAATCTACAATGCTTTCGACATCATCACAAACGCTCTCTTAATATTTCTTCTAATCTCATGTGTCATCCAACTTGAAACCTAGATCAAATGCAAACTCGGGTTATATAAACTTTGCATTGTCCTAATTGCCATAGAAACTTTCTATTTTTTCCGACAGGTCCAGAAAACCATTTACCATCACTCAATAGGCAAATGGCAAAATTGGATTGTCATTGAGATTTTGCAAATGAATCCAACCGTCTGGTTCCTGGATGTACAAGCTATAAGTAACGCCAGCAGCAAGCAACCACGGAAGTATTTTGTCTGGACAGAGCTCCATTACCTCAAGCCACTTTGAACCTGCAGGAAATAAGGATGAAGGAATGAGCAGATGAACAAGCATGCCTCTATATTCTAAAATAACTACCCATCTAATATTAATGGTTTTCCGCTAGCCTTCAGAAATTTTTTACTCACACATCATGTAGTAGAAAAACTCATCTTGTAGCCTACACTTCAAAACCTACATTAGATGTTGCTATTTGCTCAGTAGTGGCTGCTCAAGTATCCAACCATTCCAATTTTGACAATACGCACCAGTTATCGAAAACAAAGGAAGCAACGGAACTGGATTTGCATTCACGGCTGGTATCAGGTTTTGGCTAAGAACCAAATAAAAAGAAACATGAATGCCCTAATGCCAGTTGAAGCAAGGGTAACTTGGGAAAACTAATCTAATATTTCATACCCATAACACTAATGGAGATAGAGTAAGACAGTAGATGCTATGCAGTCACAATGGGTTCTTTTTTTTCTTTTCTTTTTTCGAATTAAAGTGCTAGCTGGGAAGCATGTAAAAATCCATATGCGAGGAAGAGAGAACTTCCAAACTTCTATGTAGATGCAACAAAACCTCAAAAGCCAAACAGACAACTGTGAGTAGGTAAGCTGGACCAGCTTAGTGGAGATGGTGAGAAGATTCCAACATAGCATCTCTGTGACATGTAGATAAATAAACAATGCCATGACACTTGTTGGCAACTAGGTTTGGAGTTAATACTAGCATTTGGGATTTGCTTTTTGGTTTGTTATGTTAGCAACACAGAACTGACTGAACTCAGTTTCAAATTGTCTAGATTCTTAAAAAGAAGCATTAACTGGCTGCTAAACCAAATAGCAAGAATAACCATTTGGGCCTTAAAAAGCACAGGTAGGGTGTCCGTTCTTTAACAATCTGTCGCTTGACTGAACCAACCTACTTGACCACCAACCGCGAATGATTATCCATCCAAAGCATAAAATTGATGTTGATAGCTGAAAATGATTAAGCATAAATAAAAATAATATAGTATTGATGTTCCACATCCAATAAATAGAGTCACGTGACTTGAAAGTACGTATATAAAAGGATATGAGCACAAGACATGAGTCTTCATGCACTCTCTCAATATTCTCTACCGTGTTGCTTATATTCTCACATTGTATTAGAGCCTTGGTGAGTATTTGCTTGATGTGCATTTACACAACAGAGAAGAGAAATACCACTTTTTTGCATTTCTCCAGCGACTGTGCGGCTGCCCATGTTTTTGCCATGTACTTTGTGCATAAACCAATACCATCACAAGCTGAAAATCTTCATGAAATCACAACCTGAGAAACTGTGTTATTATCGGAAGGCGGATGTGCCTTCACGTGCTTGCCATAATGTTTTTACGGGGTCCAGCTTACACACTGATGTGAAAGACAATTTCCGGCGACCATCTGACGAGTCGCTTTTCTCCATTGAGGTCAACTTCTTCGTAGTTTGTCCAATGCTACATATCATACTTTTGGCTCTCTTCGATCACTGAAAACTTAGCTAAAGGTCTTCATAGTTAGGGTCCCAACATGCTCTAATTTTCTAAGTTTTTGGATCAGATTTCTCGTCATTTTTTAGAATCTAAGGATGGACCCGGCTCTGCGACCTATCTGACTGATTTCAAGATTTTTCCATTAACATTTTGGCCAGATTCTAACCAGAAAATGGAATTTAATACTTTGAATGATCGATGATTCCTTACTTGACTATATTGAGTTCTTTTGGAATAAGCTACAGGACACGTAAGCATATATCTCCCTAAGTAACTTTTGTCATTCAAACTAGTAATTATGTTGCTTATATCTCTCAACATTATCTAGTATCCTCGTCATTAACTCAAGAGCTCCTAATCATGTCCTGGTAATAATGTCTTTTCGCTACTTATCCAAAAAAAAAATAATAATAATAATGTCCCTTTTCTATTTCTTTTTCACAATCCTTTCTTTTTAATATCCGTGGTGTCCAGGCCAGATTGCGCGCACCTCAACTAATTTCACGAGGTACCTGCTACCTCCCACTACTTCGTCAAGGATTGGACAGATAGGAAGAAATCACCTCGTGTTTTTGCCTCCGAAGATTTTGAACCTGAGATCTCATGATTCTCAACCCACTTCATTGATCACAGACCACACCCTTGAGTGATTTTTTTCATTATCTCTTCTAACAGTTATATTTTCAATGGACTCCCAAACCATGGCAACTGGAGTAGGTCAAATTACTACAACATCTTCGGTTGCCTAGTCAATCTCATGTTAATTAATTGCTTATCCCACACTTACCTACTTTTTTTAATAAGTCTATTTATATAAGACGCAGTATGGGATGGATTATTGCTAAGTAGCTTATTCTCATGGCTATGCTACATTGATCTTCCTACATGACCCATATCCTACCATGTCACTAATTTCCCTTATATACTCCATAGTGGACCTGTCCATCTACTCTTCTCCACTTAAATATCGAGCTCTTGTGTGCGACAAAATTCGAACAAGTGACACATTGAAAGTTGCGGTCTTACCACTAAACCAAAGCCCTGGGGATCCTCACAAAATATTATTATTTGATAAATTATATGCTTTCCTCCCTATCCAAGATCAGGTTTCCCTACTTGTTGTATTTCCCATTCACCTCTATGTTGACTCGCTCCTCATGTCTTTGGTAGCACTTGTTTCGTTATAACCTAACACCTAAACGAGATAAACTAGACCCTCATGCAATCAAACGTTTGTTCTAATTATTCTTGAGCTTAGAAAGGATATTGTTACCAATCACCTAATCTTTGTTTACACCTTTAGTTAGCCTATAACACCTTTTCAAAATTCAATCTTATCTTACAACTTCTGACCATTTTGACACCTCTGTTGTTTACTAATAGCACCAGGAAAGCTCTTGATAGTACCTCTCCTTCATCTCCTACCACAGTGTCACCGCTTTTGATTAAGTCTGTTTTATTCCCACATCCACCTCTATATTTTCTTCCTCCTTGTGGTTTTGGTAAAACTTGTTCTGTTATGACCTGACTGCTGGGCAAGACAAACTAGACCCTCATGCTCTCAAGTGTGTATTTTTTTATTACACTCAAGTTTAAAAAGAATATTGTTGTCACTCACTTGATCTTTGTCGATACCTTAAGGCAGCTGATGTCACCTTTTCCTAACTCGATCTTATGTTGCACCTTTTCCTGACCATCTTGAAAGCTCTGTTGTTTTACCCGTACCACCAATGGAGTTCTTATTAGTACCTCTCCACATATCCTCCCATTGCGTGACTGCTTTTGAATTATTGTTGCCACCAGTATGCCACTCCAGAGTCATAAGATTCACCTAGTTCAACAGATCCTTGCATGTTCCAAACTTGTCTCTCAAAACAGTCTTCCAGTGGCTATTTGCAGAGGTATCTGTTCTGCTCATAATCCTCATTACATATATACGTGTTTGAGTTATCATAATTTGTCATCAATATATTTTGCCTTTGCGCCGACCTTGTCTTATACGTGTTCCTGAATCTACAGAACTAGCTCTTTCTGATCCAAAATAACAAGTTATGATTAAGGAAAAGTCTGTTGTATACTCTATTGCTACTTGGACATTTGTTCCCCGGAATCTACGAAAAAATATGTTCTTGGTTGTCCATGAGTCTATATAGTCAAGGTTGGTCCAGGTGGTCAAATTGATCATGTTGGCTGCAAAGGCCACTCAAATGTTCGGATTAATTATGCTGATACATTCTATCCCAGGGTAAAAGTTGCTCCTTTTTGTCATGGTTGTTGTTCATCATTGGCTTCTTCACTAGTTAGATAACAGGCATTCATTTATTCAGAAGAATCTTGAGGATGAAACACATACGGAGCAACCACCATGGTTTTTTGCTCGGGAAGTCTAGTCTTGTATGCTGCTTAAGTTGATTTGTTTATGGTTTAAAGTAGTCTTCTCAATCATGATTTGGTAAGTTTAGCACATTTATTCAAGACTTTGGCATGACTCAAAGTTGATCGAGGGCTCGTTTGGACAAATGTTTGGTTGAAATTAAAAAAGGAGCATTTAAAATTAAAATTAAAAAATAAGTATTTGGAAGTTGAAATTATGCTGGACATGAATTTCACTGGAAAAAAAATTGAAGTTTTATGAGTGAAGCCTTAATTTTACTTAATTACTCAAACAAGTTTTTCAACTTGAGATTCTTTTTTTCAAGTTGTGGTTGAAATAACTCCCCAGACTCCACTTGTAGGATTATATCGGGTATGTTATTGTAGGTTGTAATGCATAAAACTGTAAACCAAACATAATTTACAGATAATATTTTCATTATTAACAAATACTCCCTCCGTTTCAAATTAGATGATGTACTTTACTTTTTAGTCTGTTCCAAAATAAATGACACATTTCTAAATTTGGAAATAATTCAACTTTAAACTCTTCAATTTACCCATTTTACCCTTAATGAGAAGATTTTATAACCACATAAATGTTATGGTCCCCACAAAGCTTTTACCCCTTAGCTTTTAAGACCACAAGTTTCAAAAGTCTTTTTTTTTTTCTTAAACTCTATGCCGAGTCAAACTACCTCATCTAAATTGAAACGGAGGGAGTAATAGATGTATCCAAATGTCTACTCGATGTTCTATTGGTGTTCTATTGGTACTCCGCTTTTATTTATGTATTTACATGGTGGTTCATGTTGATGACATAGTTATCAAGGCTAGTAACATTAGGGGATACAAAGTTGAAATATCTCCTTAATGCTTCCAGACCAAGGACCTAGGTAGACTGTGCTATGTTCTAGGCACGTTGCCCAGTCTAATTCAGTATCTCACAACGTTAGTACGCTCTTGACATTCCAGAAGAGACAGGAATGACCGCTTGTGGACTCGCTAACACTCCTATAACTCTAAATGTTAAAAGTAATGATCAACGGGATTCTCTTAGTGATCCTGGTGATAAAAGGTCTGTTGAAAAGTTCTGACCCATCTCACAGTTACTTGACATGATTGCCTTTCCAGTAGTCATTGGCATATTGGTTCAAATCCTTCAATATATAAAATCTGCTTTAAGAAAAGGTTGTTTTACGAGGACCGAGAACAGGAAGAAGATACTTGGACATACTAATGCAGATTAGGTTAGTTGGAGGTAATCAGTATCTAGGTTATAAGCTCAAGTGCAAAAGCTGAATATCCAGCCACGACAATAGAAACTTGCCAACTCATAAGGATCAAGAAAACACTCAAATAATTAATGATTGGAGAGATAATCAAACGCATTTAAAACTTGTATTGATAATCAAGTTGCACACCATATTGCATCAAATATATTGTTGTATGAGAGAAACAAGCATATAGAAATTGATTGTTACTTTGATAGAGGAAATATATTTTTAGCAAACATTGTCACAAAGTGCATAAATTCGAATGATTAGCTAGCAAATAGATTTAGCAAATCACTCACTGGCTCCAGAATTAGTTGCATATAAAACAAGCTCGATACATGCAACTTGCATGCACCAGCTTGAGGTGAAGTATTAGAAAGTTGAGTATGGTTAATTGCAAAAAGTTATACTTGATGTAATATAGTACTAATGTCTCACATTGAGTAGTTATAGTCACGTACATGTAAAGTATGCATGTAAAAAGATATGGATGTAAGCCATTAGTCGTTATCACTCTCTCAATATTCCCTCCAGTGTCTCTTATTTTCTCACAAGACAAGGACTAGCTCAAAAGGGACGAAATTACAAATAACAAATAACAAAGCATACCTTACAGCTTCCCATCCTGTCACTTGCTCTGCAACACACGGTAATTAAGTACAAGATCTTCCGGTTTCTTCCATATATAGGCCCGGACAGTTGCTAAGCTCATATCAGGAGATAAAACCTGGTAAAGGACAACAAAATTTCATATAACCAGAATGCAGTGTGAGCAGAACCTGGAACCCAATTGGACAATTATGGTTGAAGGCAACATATATAAAGATTGATGCAACAAAGTCAAATGTTTCTTCTAGTGGGAATACGTATTGATGTGACAGAATCACATTGCTAAAATTTAAGTTTAAGAACCTCTCATTTTGAAGTATAAAGATGAAGTGGAAACTACAAACAGTACTTGATATTTACACCTTAATATGTGAAGCATCTAGAAGCCAGTAACGGAAACTAGAACTTGCCTGGTTATTGCACAGAATGTCTATAGATGGCTTAAGCTTTTGCCAAGGTTTCGGCCCAGTACGGAATGAGCCATCTCCTCCAGTAACTCCATGCATTCCAGGAGTAAAAGTCCCATCCGAGTTAACACTATCCAAAGGCTTGTCAAGAACCATCTTTTCTACGACATAATTGATAACCTGGAGAAGAAAATCAGTAGACTTACAGATATTCAATGTGTATCCTCTGTAGGTATAGATTAATTACCATGAATAATTGTATATAGACATAATTATTTCTGGGTGATTATAGGATCAAAGAGAAGCTGAACCAATGAATCATACCTTATTTCATGAATGATCAATTGGTACTACGCAAGGATAAATTGCACTTCTCACACTCACATTTTATGTGGAGGTATTATGTCAAAAAATGGGTGGTCAAATTCCATCACTTTTTCAATTTTGAATCGGTAATGTACCTAACTTGAAAATTATCAACTCTTTTATTTATTACCATAAAGGCTATGCACAAAGGACCTATCACAAGTGTGGGAACAGTGAGAGGACATAAAACACCGTGAGTTTACACTAAGGATTTTCCATGAGCTCGTAATTACCCAACTCATGGATGAGCTACAGAATAGTGAATAGAATGAGATTTCATGGTGCATCGTACTTGCAGATGACTTTAAGTAATTGATGAAACTAATGAGGCACTCAACCTAAAGTTGAAATATGGAGAAAAACTCTAGAGTATAAATGTTTTAGAATGAATAGAAGTCAAATGAAATATATACACTGCATTTAGCACTCATAAGTAGAATGAAGGTTAAGTAAGATTAGATGGAACCATGGAGTCTGAATGTGAACTCAGATATAATAGGCTCAATTTGGCAGGAGAATAACATGATAGAGGAAGAAGTAAAACAGAGCCTTAAAATAAGATTGCTAACATAGATAAGTATAGTGCAATAAGAAGAAACCTAAAAAGTGAAAGACAAGTTCTATATAACAGTAGTGGAATCAGCAATGTCATGTAAATGGTGGACCTCAAAGATGCAACAGATCCACAAGAAAAATCACACAAATGATGTCTAGAACAATTTTGGGTCATAAAAGATTAGATAAGATTAGAAATGATCATATTTGATAATTGGTATCTCATCGAGGAAAAATGAGAGGTAGTCTAAGATGGCTTAATCATGTCCTACATAGAAAACCATTTGCACAACTCTGTTGGTGAGAGATTACAATAATTGAAGGTGATAAAATAGGATGACGCACACCTATAATCAGTTGGAGACAAATTTGGAAGAAATGCGAACTTAGCACACAACAGAAGCAAGGGATTCATATAGACAATACCAACTAACAGGAATTAGAACTTAGTTGCTTTTTCACTTATACTGGTTTTTCCAAGAGTCTTTTTAAATTTTCTTAAAGACTTGCATGTTAATCTAGGAATAAGTGTATGATATCGGGTATCTAGTTTTAGAGAACTCCCAATATCTTTAAAGACAAATTATCAAGTATTGGAATGAAAAGGGTCTCAATAGAACATAATAGATACAAAGGATTCATATAGCATACTCCGATTAGCTTGGAATTGAGACATAATTGATATATAATCTGAATACATATGAACTAGATGAATAATCATATCGATTTTTAGAGCGCTCCACAGATGTAATCTTGTAAAGCTTCGTAGCAGTTTGGTGCCTTTTGATGCAACTATGAATAAAATATCCTACTCCATAAAAAAGGGACAAGGAAGGGGTAAACTGACAAAGTAATGTATATTTTCATAATCATCTATGATCTAGCTATCCTTTTGAAGTCAGGGATGCTTTATGCATAGGGCAGAGCAATGAAACTTTACACGAGCCCAGATATCATAGTAAACATAAATATCCAAGTAGAAAGACTGTTACCAGTCTCAAAAAAGTATCCAAGTAGAAATCAAAAATCACCCTCACTTATCCATTTGATGACACCCCTCTTCCAGATCGGAGATATCAACCATGTTGCAGAAGTATCTGATATTACTTGACGACTGCCTAATATTAACCAAATTTAAGCTGTAACAACTTATGGTACCACAAGAACACTCCTTCACATAGACTAAAGAGACTATTGGAGTTTTACTTGACATAAAACTAGAGCAATATGCTGTCTACATCACAAAAGGGTAACCATGGTACAGGTCTTGTACCAAATAAAAAAAATCAATTTGGATAACGCAGAGCTGCAGAGCATATTTTATACTGATTTCCTTAAGATATACTTCTGTATATTCGAGTTGCTTTTAAAAATTATAGGTGGTGTTTCAGTAGAAGGTGTCCAGGAAAAGGGAAAGTGTAAATCTCCCAGTAATACGGATAATACGATGAAGTGTAATTAGTAGCCAACAAGGAACACCTTTATCATCACAACAATATATTGATTCTGCATTGAGATTTGAACTCAAAGATGCTTACTTTGTGAATTCTTGATATGCGAGGTGCACTCAGCTTGCCTTGGGTAAGGATCTGGAATGTAGAACCTTCACATGGATGCAAATACAAGCTACATCTGCAAACCATTTAATAGAAAAGGGGTTACAATGAAAGTATTTTATCACAGCCAGAAAGATAAATACCTTTGCTTTAAGCATACATGGTGCAAGCAACTGGAAGAAATAATGGAAATTAGAAGCACATTGCTCCTTCAAAAATTGAGACTTAAGGGCCTCCCGAAAGACTTGTAGTTAACACTTACTCTATAATTTAAATGCAATTCAAGGATTGTCAAGCAAATAAATATAATTTTGGAGATTTACTTGGTATTTTCCCTGGGAGGCAGCCGATTGTTCATCACACAGTCTATAACCCACCAAGGCATGTCCTTCTCGTCTTCAGTTCCATCCAAGTCTGTGATCTTTTTCCTCCAAGGACCACTTTGAGAGCCCTCAGTCACGACAGATGGAGGAGATACTGCTGAAAATTCAAAGGGAGGAAATACAGCAGAATCGTTATCAGCACCACTGTCTACTTCCACTCTAGATGCAGCCAAAATCCTTGCAGATACATCTTTTCCAGATGGGACTTCTCCATTGCTTGACGGTTGAGATCCAAATTTCTGCCTTCTTTTGATTAACCCATGCACCAACAGCCCTTTAAGTGTTTCTCGTGCCAAATTAACCTATTTTTAGAATAGGCCAGGACCAAAAACTGTTCATCCTTTGCGTAAGTGAATCAAACTTCACTAATATAACTGACTGATCAATCATAACATTGGTTCAAACATTTATCAGTTCCACATGTAATACAACATGCAAAAGCGCAGGCATTTGGTAGTACTCGAAAAGTCAAAACTACTTAGAAATCCACAAGGCAAAGAAGCAAATAAGGGAAAAATATCAACAACCTGAAATCAAAAGTATAAACTTCAGCATGAAACAGAATAACAGCAAAATTTCAGGTCATTCTGAGATAACTGCAGCCCATAAGTACTAAGGCATAGCTTTTACCTATCAAAATGTTTCAAGTGATTTAGACCTGACAACCAAATGACATAACAAACCTAAAGACAAAATGTATTATTCAATTTTTTTTTTTTTGAGAAATCAAAGTCATTTCATTGATGTCACACGTAGATTGTATCAAAAACTACTTAGAAAGAGTATGAGTGGCTACCCCCCCCCCCCCCAATTTTTAACAAACTGGCCCATTCATCTATACAGATATGTTACCCAATTATTTATCTCTGATTATTTTATAACTCATTTGATGCAAACTAATTGCTCAAAAGGAGGGAAATGTTGTATCTATCCCCATTGGACTTTCATCTTTCACATTTCCTCTTAACAAACAAACTTACAGGAAAAAAAAAAAAGAAGCCAGAGTCGCCTAGATCATGTAATAGAAGGGAGCAAGGTGAATAAATGAAAGCGGATACAGGAACTGGAACCTCTATGATAAATGGAAACAAAAGCGTCATATCAGGAAATACCTTGTCATCTTCAGGTTTCCCGGGGATGTTAAGGTCAGCAGAGTACATCTCAGCAGAAAAGCATTGTGGAGTATCCAAATGTACAGCCAGGCTTCCCAGCCTAGTGTCCATGGTGAACCATGCAGGGATGCTTACCTGAAGAAGCAAAATGTATCAGAAAGATTCATAGAAAAGTAATAGCATTGCGCAACAATGACAATGTAGTTCCTACCATCTCAAATAATTCTTCCTTTTTCTTGTCAAATGAAACCTACACCAAAAATAACCGGAAAAGAAAAACATGGTAACAGCACTGCATAGTAAAGCAGGCCATAATGAATTAAAAGCAGAAGGGGACAATCGCCATCATTTTGAGAAAATAAGAAAGTGTCCTCCAAACATGCCATCGTTGCTTAATAGATCTCAAATGATTTCATTCTAACCTCTCCGTAGTTTTGAATTACAGCCCCTCTTGTGATCTCCCACAACTTAACTGTACCAGCAGTATCCTTTCAAAGGCATAATCCAGCATCAGGTTACAAATCATACTCTTCTAAATATAATTTAACCTCATTAAGAATAGTAAGTCATTAGCAACCCAAATATAAATGCAAAAGATCATTTTACCTTGGTCAGGACATGCCTTCTGTTATTTAAAATCTCATACTGCACTATTCCTGGGGTTCCAGAAATACTAAATGAAGGTTCTTCATAGACAGGTACCTGCATAATTGTCCAACTCTAAATTTTTTTATGATTAATGTATTATATTTGAAAAGGAAGAAGGGATTATAAGGATGGAGGAGAACACGTCCTAAACAGAATATTCAACTTATTAGGTTATAATCTAACTACAACTTTTGATCTGCATAAGCAACGAGCAATATCTCCTGAGAGTATCTTTTCTCTGACGAAGTGACAGTCAATCTCAATGTGTTTAATTCTCTCATGTAAACACCGGATTTGATGCAATATGAGGGGCAGCTAGATTATCGCACACAAGTTCCATTTGGATTATTTCACCAAATATCAACTCCTTGAGCAATTGTTTGATTCAAACTAGCTCACATGTTGCCATAGCCATTGCTCGATATTCTGCTTCTGCACTAGACCGAGCAACTACATTCTATTTCTTGCTCTTCCAAGACACCAAATTGCCTCCTACCAAAACACAATATCCAGAAATAGAACGTCTATCAGAAGGTGATCCTGCCCAATCAGCATCTGAGTATCCAACAATCTGCTCATGGCCTCGATCCTCAAACGATAACCCTCTGCCTGGAGCCAATTTTATATATCGAAAAATATGGATAACTGCATTCCAATGACTATCACAAGCAGAATCCATAAACTGACTTACAACACTCACGGGAAAGGAAATATCGGGTCTAGTCTTTGTGAGATAATTTAATTTACCAACCAACCGCCTATATCTTGCAGGATCGCTAAGCGGCTCCCCTTGTCCTGGCAGAAGTTTAGAATTCAGATCAATCGGATTGTCAACATGCCTACAGCATCTCATTCCTGTCTCCTCAAGAATGTCTAAGGTATACTTCCGTCGTGAGATCACAATACCTGAGCTAGACTTGGCGACCTCAATAACCAGAAAATACTTTAATCTGCCAAGATCCTGATCCTTAGTCTGTAAGTGTTGAAAGAGATGTTGCTTCAATTGAGTAATATCATGCTGATCATTGCCGGTAATAACATTATCATCAACATAGACCACCAGATAAATGCCGAGATAAATGCCGATAAAACACAGAGTGATCAGCTTCACTACGAGTCATGCCAAACTCCTGGATAAGTGTGCTAAACGTACCAAACCTGGCTCGAGGAGACTGCTTTAGAAACACCAAACTGATTTTTGATTCCAGCACAAAAATTCTGGAATGTAGAAAACAAGTCAGCACGATCTTTCATTAAGAAAAGCCAAGTACATCTTGAATAATCATCAATAAAACTAACAAAATAACGAAATCCCAAGGTTGAACTGACTCTACTAGGACCCCATATATCAGAATGAACTAAAGAAAAAACAAACTTTGATGACTGTCAACACTATGTGGAAAGGAGGCTCGGGTATGTATCCCAAGCCGACACAACTCACAATCTAATGTAGACAAACTAGACACCATCTTATGAAGCTTGGATAAACTCGGATGTCCTAAACATATGTGAATTAGGTCTGGAGGATCTGTAACTAGACATGCTATGAAGGGATTAGGTGAGTTAAGATAGTAAAGGCCTTCTGATTCACGCCATATGCCAATCGTCTGTCCCGAACCGCGGTCCTACATAATAAACGAATGATCAGTAAAACATATACCACAATGGAGGGCACGAGTCAAACGACTAGCAGATGCAAGACTAAAAGGACAGCCAGGGACATAAGGAACGGAATCTAGAGTGACAGAAGATATAGGATTAGCTTGTCGCCTTGTCCAACTCCTTTTGCTTTAGTTTGAAACCATTGGCTAAGTAACAGTGGGAAGAGACTGTGAATATACAATATTCGACAAAAGTGATTTATTACCAGAGATATGATCAGAAGCGCCTGAGTCCATGACCCATGGTCCAAAAGTACTAGACTGAGAAACACAAGCAAAAGAATTACCATCAATAGAAGTATTAGTTTGAGCAACTGAGGCTACTTGTGAAGATGTCTGCTTACTTGCTCGATACTGAAGGAACTCATTATATTCCCTTCAGATAAAGAGATCACTGAGTGACTTGGTGCTGCAGCAAGGCGAAGTAATCGAGAGACAGTCGAACTAGCCAAAATCTGGTCACGTACTGGATCAAGGTCATTAGGAAGTACAGCGAGTGTAAGAACTAGAAACATCTTCTGTCATTGCTCTTGTAGCTTTTCAATACTAGCAGAAACAGGCATCAACTTCTCAAATTCATCCATGACTGCCTGTACTTGTCTCGAGTAAATAGACATATCCAATTCCTATTTCTTCAAGCTTGTCATTCGCGATATCACATCATAGAAACGAGATATGTCATTGGTATATAAAGCACGAGCCTTTTTCCAAACAAAATGGCATGCCTTGAATGGACGAAACAAAGGCATCAACTTAGAATCAATAGATCGCCACAAGATACTACATAATTGAGCATCGATCTTTTCCCACTGTGCTTTGGTCTTTTCATCTCCCTCACTGGCCTTTTGGTTAAGTGGTGTTGAACACCTTGACCCTTCCACTACAACTCAATTGAGGAAGCCCAAGCTAAATAGTTTCAACTTCCCATTAAGGGCTCCGAAGTAATCATGAAGCTTGAATTTCAAGAATCCGTGCTTTTGGAACCAAATACATCAATTCCAAAAGATATCATTGGATTAGAGAGAGGTCTAGAAACAATAATAAAAATAATCAACTGTATCTTGCTGAAACAGGGAAGAAATCACTGTTTTTGCCAGAAAATCACTATTTCTGCCGGAAAAATCACTGTAGTTGCCGGAAAAAAATTGAAAGTGATCGGAATAAAAAGAAAATATGATGGGTAGGCTCGAAATTGATGGGCGAACAGACTGTCCAAAAGAACTTTCACCAACAACTGGGCGGAACAGTGTCCACGCGCCGGCGCGTGTGACTGAAGCGTCATCGGCGTCAGAGCTTTAAGCCGCGCGTGACGGCGCGTGGTAGGGTTTCTATCGGACTGGTTTCTTGGGATTTGGTCGCCAGAGCTTTCCAAGTATGTTGGTGGTGTTGGTTTTAGCACAACACTCACCAACAGAGAGGTGATGCAATCAGATCTGGAAAGAGTCGTCGAAAATTGATGCACAACGACTATCCGACCTTTCCAAAGTTTCTCACAGATGCTCTGATACAATGTGAGAATTAATAACTCAAAAAATTATATTATTGATGTGTATTAACTATAATATAAATACCCCTATTTATAACAATACGCAATACCTACATTACTCCAATTCCATATAGGACTATGCTTATTTACATAACAACTAACCAACTAACAACTAGCTTACCATGGACGCCAAGCATACAACTCGACAAACTTGTAGCACCTCAATACAAATCAATAATAAAGTCGAAGAACTTCAACAACACCTATAATAGTCCCTTGCACTGGACTCACACGTCAAAATTGTACACCATGCATCAAATTCTAAGTGGCTAATAACCTAGATATTTCACAAATTTCATCATCTCCTCAGCTCCTCTAACCAGTTACATTATATCCATATTTCTTAGAAGTAAAGTAATAAAATTGTTTACTAACACAAATAGTGGATTTAACTTAATCGTGCATGTATTGGTACTTGGACTGGGACTGCTATTGTTGGAAATTAGTACAAAATGAGAAATAACTTGTGAAGATAACCCAACAACTGAATCCCATAGCTTTAGCCCCCTCATTTTCCTTGTTATCTTTTCCTTTTATCATGTACAATCACATCATCTTTTCTGATTTGAGAATCTTCTAGGGATCCTTGACAATCACACATTCTCAGGTTTAAATGATGTCTATGAGTAATTTTACTTCAATTTAATCGTAATCAATCCTCGAGTCTTGGCAACTTCCACATGAACAAAAAGATCGTCAACAAAAATTTTAACATGTCCTACTCATTTAACAGAAGCTAGTTTTCAGAAATTCAATACAGAAAAACAGAAGATATTTTGAACCCCCACAATTGCAATTGCATATATATTCAGGAATTTAAGTTGTAACCTCAAGAAAACATATAAAGGGATGTTGAAGTTAGCTCACAGGCGTAGATCCCTCTAATGAAACCCTTGCCCTGGAAAAAGACAAGTTTCCAGTCAAGAACGAACCCCCTCTTTCGAAAACCTTCTGGGGACTACGCCCTTCTGCTGGCCACTTATGTACCGAAGAATCAGTTGTGGCCACCCACATGCTGTCACCATGTAATTCTAACTGCAAAATAGGGTGTTCCTTCGTACAAAGCAAGATACTTTCCCTTGTTGCCAAATATGTTAGGTACAACTGCAAGTTCAAACAATGCAAAATAGGGTGTTCCTTCGTACAAAGCAAGATACTTTCCCTTGTTGCCAAATATGTTAGGTACAACTGCAAGTTCAAACAAAATTTGTGTAAATGAATGATTTTGTAAGCATAGCAGTCTAAGAAGTTGGGAAAGAAATTGGCAAGAGAAAACATGCTGGATAAGTTTTAGGAGTCCACTTACAGAGAGATCTCTTCCACCACTATAAACATGACTAAATGTTGGAGTACTAGCAAGTGCCCATACAGAATCAGTATGCACAGCATAGGAATGGACACACCGCTGCTGACCCAGATCCCACAATCTAACAATTAGACTCAAAGTAAAAGTCAATCCTAACATAAAACAAAATCTGCAGATAACAAAAGCAAGGTTTGGACAGCCATGTGATACGATATAAAATGGAAGAGGTCGGCGCTATAGGTGGAGCTCGTACAATGGGCTTGCAAAGTTGCACAGTGAAGTTAGTGAGAGGGATCAGCTGATTAGTTAACAAGTTTTGCTTCTTGCATTTAAGTCCATTTAGCTAGTTTACGTTATTATTTAATTACCCCTTGTATGTTTTACTTATTTCTTTTAAGTCCATAGGTCTATTGCTCATGTCTTGAGCTATATGTACTGAACATTAGCTCATTTTAAAGGCATCTGTTATTTTACTTTCCTTAGCTTAATTTGGTTCTTCAAAACTATCCGGGCCGGGAAATTTCAAGCTTATCTTCATCCCCCTTTTCTTGCAGGTAAAATCCCTAACCCTTTTAATTGAATTTCAGGTTTAACCTAAGAGGGGGGGGGGGGGAGTCTCATGCATTGGTTCTTGAAAATAATGGTTGAACTCATACATGCATGCCTTTCTATAACCTAAAATCTAGTAGGAGTAGTTGGATGGGAGCAAAGACTTGTACAAAGAAGGGGCTGATAACCTAGATAAGTTTGAGAAGCATTTGTGAACTCCAATTCTAAGTTATGTGTATTAAATGTGCACTAGATTGACGTTGCTAGATTATTTGATGAATTGGAAATAGAAGTTAAAAGGGAATTCGGCTCCAGGTATGTATGGCTAACTTTGATCTTTGTAAAATCACTTTGCTTGGTGTTCAATATTTGGTACGTGTTGTCTACGTGGGTTATTTGTGAAGTTAAACTCTTGCTAGTAATATGTGTTTACTTGTGTGAACCATTTTTGAATTCATGTAAATATTGTGCCTTAAACGTTGTTGGTTAAGACGTCCGATATGATTGTGCAAGTAAATGGCAATAAACCAAGTTGTGATTGCGAATGTGTTATGTGGTAAGAACTGTGGAATAAATGATGGAAAGGAATCGAGATTGGTGAAAATTGAGATAACTGTGGTAACATCCTTTGTGGCTAGTTGTGGAAAATCATTGTTGTGATTTAAATGGTACAACGGGCTGTTGAAAAAGATGGAAATGGCATTCATAGTCATATAAACCCTGTGTGAGTTGTGTTGTTCCTTGAGATGTGTTGTCGTTGTTATTGGGATTTGTTGTTGTTGTTCCTGAAACTTGTTGTTGTTCTCCTTGTAAATTGTCATTGCTGTGGTATTGTTTGTGAATTGTGATTGCTCGGTGGGATCGGTTTGCGCGCCGCAACACGAAGTAATAAGGTGTGGGTTGTGGTGATAAGGGTGGCCGAGGTAATAAGGGTGGAAAGTGATCGAAATCACTATTGAAATGAAATTATGAACAAATTGTGAAATTATTAATGTGGAAATGTGGAAGGGGAAAACGGGAGAGATTGTAAACTTGTTTGGCTGATTGTTCCTTCTTTGTGTATTTGATTGTTATTTCTATTACGATTACATACTTGCTTATAAATTGTGAAATTATTGATGTGGAAGAGGAAGCAGGAGAGATTGTATACTTGTTCGGCTTAGTTGTTCCCTCTTTGTTGATTTGATTGTTGTTCTTATTACTGCTACATACTTGTTTATGGTTCGAGTTTACTTGGAGCAAGGTTTGTTCATACATACCAGTACAATTCAAATGTATTGACATCCCTTTTGCCGGGGGCGCTACATTCGTGTTATGATTGTAGGTGGATCCGTAGCAGGTACTCCAGTCCACCGATCGTAGCTCCCCTTCGTCCTCCATCAGCTTTTTGGTGAGCCCCTTTCCTCTCGGGGCCCTGCGTGGCTCAGGCCGCTTGTTTCCGGAGTTTTATTTTGATTTTTTTTGTGTAAGGTATAGCCAGAGCCTTGTTACCTGCAAATACTATATTATCCTGTTGTACTTTTAGAGGCTCCGTGGACAGTAGATGTGGGTTAAGAACTTGTGTAAATCTATGTTCATGTGTTGGGCAAAGAATTTGTAATTTCATTAACTATTATGTACGTATATATGTGTTGCAAAAAGGTGTTCTAAGTTAATTATATGGCTAATTCTTGGAATATTGAGTAAGGAAAACATGGGGTAACACGTGGGTTAGGAAAGGCACCCAGGTCCGCTTGACTGGGGCTATCCGGTCGGGCGCTGGTCATGTCCCTCGAATTTGGGGCGTGACAGAAACCTCCCCTCAGGTTTGGCTTCTAATATTAACCTCCCTTGTGGTTTACAATATTACTCTTACCTCCCCTATTTTAATTTCTTTATAACAATTTTTATTTATTGTTAATTTTCAAAAAAATTGTGACATGACTGATTTGCCATTTCTAATATACTCATTTGTATAGTTAAATTTGCAAACATTTTTCCTGAAAATGATTCCTCTAAAATAACAACAATGGCTGGGAATAAAACAAAAGAATACATTGACTATGAATCCCTCAATGTTTTGAGGCTTTCCAACCTTCAAAATCATAAGGTCCATTCACGACTTTCGAAAAATGTTTCACATTGATCTCATACAGCAAAGGATCTACCAGATTAACCAATTCCAGAAGATTTGAGGCTGTTGTTAGAGGAGTTCAAGGACGTTATGCCCAAAGAGCTGCCCGCGGAGTTGCCACACTATATGAGATATTCAGCACAGCATTGATCTCATACCAGGGCAAATTTACCAAACCAACCACACTATCGAATGAGTCCTAAGGAGAATGAGATTTTAAGAAGCCAAGTTGAAGAGTTATTAAAGAAAAGGTATATACGAGAGAGCATGAGCCATTGTGCAGTACCAGCCTTATTTACACCGAAGAAAGATGGATGTTGGAGAATGTGTGCAGACAGTATGGCAATTAACAAGATCACTGTGGGGTATAAGTTTCCAATTCCTCGATTAGACGACATACTAGACTAGTTAGATGGATCAGTATTATTTTCAAAGATTGATCTACACAGTAGGTACCAAAAGATTAGGGTTCGACTAGGAGATGAGTGGAAGACAGCTTTTAAGACGAGTGATGGATTGTATGAGTGGCTAGTCATGCCTTTTGGCTTAACTAATGCTCCAAGTACTTTTATGCGACTTAAAAACTAGGTCCTACAACCATTTATTGGGAGGTTTGTTGTAGTATACTTTGATGATATCCTAATTTACACTCGAACTCGGGAAGATCACATCTCACACCTAAGGGAGGTACTAGTGGTCTTAAAGGAAAACAAGCTCTATATCAACCTAAAGAAGTGCAGCTTTATGTCCTCAAAGTTATTGTTCTTAGGATACTTTGCCAGTGCAGTTGGAATTCGAGTGGATGAAGAAAAGGTGTATGCTATTAAGAGTGGCCAGTACCCAAAACAGTAAGTGAACTACGTAGTTTTCACGGGTTAGCGACCTTCTATAGTCGATTTATTCATCATTCCAGTAAGATCATGGCTTTGATTTATTCATCATTCCAGTAAGATCATAGCTCCCATTACTGATCTCTTGAACAACGGAAAGTGGAATGAAGATGCAGACAAAAGTTTTAATATTATCAAGGAGAAACTGACTACCCCTTCAATTTTAGCTTTGCCGAGTTTTGACAAAGTTTTCGAAGTGGAGTGTGATACAAGTGGAGTAGGCATTGGAGCAGTGTGATACACAGGAAAATCGACCAGTAGCTCTTTCCAGTGAGAAATTGAGTGATGCATTACAGAAATGATCTACTTAAGACAAGGAGTTTTATGCGGTTAGTCGTGCTCTAGAGCACTGGGAACATTATCTTATTGGTAAAGAGTTTGTTCTCTATACTGATTATCAGGCTTTAAAATCACTTGCCAGCTAGAAAATAATTAGTCAAGACATGTGTGCCAAATGGCTCACTTTTCTAGAGAAGTTCCCTTATCGACTTTGACAATTCAGGAGTCTAACAAAGTTGTTGATGCTTTAAGCCGACGAGTGGCATAGATGACAACGCTCAGGTTTGAGATCATTGCTTTGATTGTTTGAAAGATAATTACGAGAATGACGAGGATCTCGGAGGAATCTAGGAAAAATGCCAACTTAAGCGAGTTGTTGATGATTTCCACATATATGAACGGTTCTGTATGAAAGGTAACAAGCTCTGCCTTCCTCGCACTTCCATGCGTGAGAAGGTTATCAAAGATTTACATGGCGAAGGCTTAGCTAGAAACCTGGGAAGAGACAAAACAATTGTTGCAGTAGAAGAAAGATATTATTGCCCTCAATTGAAACGAGATATCTGTAAATTGGTGAAAAGATGTTATACATGTCAAACTGCAAAGGGTCAAACTCAAAATACTAGCCTTTTCATTCCTTTGCCAGTCCCAGAGCATGTTTGGGAGGATTTAAACATTGACATTGTGCTTGGATTACTGCGGACGCAACGAGATATGGATTCTATTTTTGTGGTGGTGGACCTTTTCTCTAAAATGTACCATTTCAATCTTTGCAAGAAGACCACAGATGCTTCCAATGTTGCTAAGCTATTTTTTAA